GCATCCCTCCTGTCCGCGTCGTGACGATGTCCAAACTCGAAGCAAAATCCACCCTCGCCCCCTCCCCCCTCCCCCTAGGGACGAGGTGACGGTGATGAAAGACATTTTCAATTCTGCAAGAGGCCAGCAACGAGACAATCGCGTCAGTGCCATCTGCCTGAAGGGCAGAGGCTAGCGAACACACCGACAATCCCAAACACCCTCGGAATCGTACACACCAGAGACAACGTTGCAACATCGAAACAACACATCCTCGCCCCACCAAAGTCAAGGGAACAGAACAACAAACAAGAAAAAAAGAAAAGAGAAGTCAAGTCGACAAATGACTGAAATTTATAAAAAAATCTGATCTGTTTTAAATATGACTGATAAATGTATGCAAGTCACAGTGCTCATGAGTTGCCACTTATTAACAAATGGTTTTGTTGCACACTATGAAACATGCATAAGGAAAGACGATCCCCGTCCTCGCAGATGTCCTCTCTCGCTCTCACATTCACCGAATTAGCAGACTAGGAAATCAGGACAGGGGAAATGTCAAGTCACTAACACGATGACATTCAATGAATGAAGTTAATGAAAGGGAAGGCGAAAAGAAATGCCCAACATCTTCTACGACGAAGAGGATTTCAAAGAGGTCGAGCTCGAACTCGGAAGAAGATGAAATTGCGTGGCAGACTGAAACGATTCTCATCCTATACAAAAAAAGGGTAAGAAAATTTTCGTACTAAAATGACTTAAATAGAGGGATTAGGTCTGAAAAACAATAGGCCAACCTTTCTGGAGATGCACTTTTCTTTGCTCAGAAAGACGCCAGCAATGTAGGGCAGAGCTCTTTTCGACAACGGCAAGGCAGTATCCGAAGCAATTCTCAATGGAGGAGAGTCTAGTGATGAGGGCGAAAGACGAAGAACCGTAAAATTGGGTTAACGTGGTGAAAAAAAAATTACGCTCCAACTTACTCGGTGGTGCACGACCAGGGGCACTAGTAGCCGGGAGACTGGCGAGACGCGTTAGATTGAAGGCTTCAAAATCGTCATCATGGAGGAAGTAGACGTAGCCATCGTTTGACAACATTCTCCACTGTTCTACAACTTCAGTGTTCGCCTGAGATGATGATGCAAGGGAGGAGGAGATGATGGCTGACGAGAGCATTGCTAGAGAGCGTGAACCCCACGGAGACGACTTTTCCCCACCTGACAACGAGTTTTCACTACCGGGAACGTCTTTGGTTGCCTTTTGCTGCAAGTGTTTCTCGGAGCCGATCATAGGCACGAAGAGGACCAAATCCTCGGGACGGAAGCTAAAATTAAACAACGAGTAGTCAGGGCAGCGTAGCAGCTCTTAATTCACGGAAACAACCACTGGACATACTTTGAGAAGACGCATTCATGACGCGGAATACGAATCAGAGCCTCAGTAGGGGTTAGCATAGCAACAGAGCCGTCGGAAGTAGCCATTGAGGCGGTGGAGGATGGTGAAAAAGTCTGTAAATGCAAAAAAATGAAAAAGAAGGAGAACATCATTATCATATGATGGGATCGGGTTGGTGGTCAATCAGGTTGCGAAAGTTTAACCGATGAGTGTGCGGCCATTATGGGTGTTAAAAAGAGATGACGAAATGAAGAAAAGCGAAGTTGCCTACCTGAGGGAGAGCAAAATCCCGAGGACGGCATTCTAAAAACGGAAATGAACCGACGTCATTCTCAGTTTCCTTCAAAATACGGTCTAAAGAAAGGTGCTGATTTCACACTACTTATAAAATGAGGTGGGTTAAGGACGTAGGCACACTTGAGGATGGGGCTAGACAATCTACAGTCTTTTTTCTCCTACCTCAGTTGACTTTACCACACTGAAACAAAGATGATGATTAAAAACAAGGCGTAGACTGCGTTGTGGCGCAACAAGTCTGCATTGAATCTGAGCAGAGCAATGAGAAAGCAGCGGCAAGCACAAACCTGTCGCCACGTTGTGACTACTGGGAAGCGTTTGAACACCGACGGACTCGCGAGTTGTGCTGGCAGGAGAGGAGGCGAGGCTGGATTTAAGGGCTTCAAAGTGGTTCACCACTTGGTTAAGACACACCACCGCCTCGCTTAGATAACTTTCCACCTCCTGGTGACGATGATGAGAGGAAAGGAAAGGGGTTAAGTGGTGATGCTAGTGCATTTACAGCCTCCTTCACCTATCCACAAAAGCAGTGTGGCAGATGTCGAGAAAACTCTCTGGTTGTGCAATCGCACAGTGCCTATCATGTGAAACTGCAATTGTGATGAGAATCGACCCTCTTCGTTAATTCATGTGAGATTTTGGTAATGCTTCTAAGTAAACTTAAAACCTGTTAATGTTTGACCATTCTTGTTTGCCTCCAAAGAGGCAGAGAAGCAGTCCCCTCCCTCCCCCCTAAACATGCTTTATGGCGCCAGTTTATAACAGAAGGACCATAGACCTACTTTGAATATGAAAGACCTATTTGACACTAATCTTTACTTTTCCAGAAATAACCAATCAAAACGAGGTCCTTCGACTTCCCATCGCTAGACAAAAATACAGAATCTAAGCTACATCGTAATTCATGAAGCCACAAGTTTACCTTTCCCACCCACCTCATTACGACTGCTGACGCAACATGCATGTGAGTTCGTGATGTGTGCTTGTGGGTGCTTTTGAATTCCTTGGTAGTCTTTTCAGTAGTCCATTGTCTGAAAGCTAATGATGACTACAGGAAGGTCTACAGAGTTTGGCAGTGAGAAAGTTGTAAAAGGTAAGGGACTTCAGCAACAGTACCTGCCAAAAGGGGGCACAGAATTGTTCCAATTCAATCGTGTTCTTCAAAGTTAACCTTCACGAAGTGTGGACATAGTTCTAACACTGGTGGTTGCAAGTCACAGAATGCAAGCAAAAGACTATGCACAAAGTCTCCACTCGCCTTCGTCCACTTCACTAGAAAATTAGAAGCCTTGATGGTCGCAACTCGGCACCAATGAATTCCTACTCAAAACAACAAACACCGCATTAGCGCTTCAAACTACTGCCTACACCGCTTCATCTCACATGGTGAGTAAAGAAGACTTATGGAGTGCCATAACAAGCCTATTGAATCGGCGACACGAATTCCGAACCCCGGAAGTCATGTGCCTCACGGTCGAGGGGAAAGATAATAAGCTTTCTCAATTCAATCCCCTATTTATGGTTGAGTTGTTCCAGAGAGACGTCTTTAGACCTGAAAAGCACAGCCTCATATGATTGTGGGAGGTGGCCTCAAATGACTAGCCTAAAACGTCCCACTTCCATGCAAAACAGTAGTCGCAGCCTTGATTACCAACCGACGGAGAATATTGTTGGTGTTTTTGAAATATTACAACACAAACACCGTAACAGCAGTTTGACGCAAGCAGGAATTCGTGAAAATGTGTCAGTGTATGCGTGCCGAGGCAATGTATGCAAAAAAAAAAGCTGACAACGCAGATTAGAGATCCGGTGACGTATTATCACCATTATACGGTCATAATTGTGATTTTTATCATCGTAAACAGCACTGGCACAGATAACATCCTTGTTTTGGAGTAAGAAAAATAAAAAACAACCCGCTTTCATCAGAACGCTCACAGCGTTCAGCAACATAAAGTCAAGGCAACAAACTCACCTCTCCATCAGTAAAGGTAGGCAAAGTGATGGTGAGAGGAAATGGGAGATGATCGCTGAGTTGCCCAACAAGTCGATTCAAGCAGTCATTGTGACCGCAAAGAAGTTCATTCACCCGTGAATCTGCCGGAGGACGGTGGATGCGTAAGTGAAAGAGGAAAGTGAAGTAAAAAAAGGAGGGAGGATGAAGTGACGCTCACTGGATGGAGTAACAACGGAGCCGGAAGAACTAGCACTTCCTGTCCCGTTGCCATCGCTGCTCACACTGCTACCATGAAGGGAATAGAAGGCTGAGCTGAGCTGTTGAGGGGTACACAAGCCGACAGAAGGTGTTCTTTCATTGAACTGTGAGGCATCCATCGACAGATAAATATCCGACGACTGTTCCTTGGGGAGGAATGAACGACTCAGGATGATGCTACAAGAGGTAAAAAAACTAATGTTTGAAGGAGGAGCATTAGACCAACTTCATAAGGAGGGGAAGGAGGATAATGAGAATCAAAGTCTGTGCATTGGACAATTTCGGTATCCATGGCCGCCGCGACTGATTTATCTTCAGTTGGAATATGGACCATTCTAGAGTAGAAAATGATCTAGTTAGGAATGCTACTGCCAAATCGACAAGAAAAAGTATTTCGCACTCACGTCTCCTCAATACAGGCTAGCCTATCTCCTGTGCACGTCGAAACGTCAACACTCTGTTGCTGATGACAAGGTAGAAGAGCAAGTGCTCCAGGACTGGAAGCAAGGCGCGATCGCCTGCGCAAATGCGGGCGCATGAGATGCGAATGATGTCGCGCTTCCGAATCGTCACCCTCCTCCTCGCTCCGATTGGAATTTAGAAGGAACCCGGTCATCACCTCCTTCTCATCCGCTTCCAACTTCAGAAGGGCCTCCGAGATCATCTCCGCCAGGTCTTGTGGTAATTGAGTGGCTAATTCACGCATCTCTGCCGCGCTCACTGCAGGCAGTGTCATCTCCAGTCCCACCGCACTACGATCGATAACTTCTGGAGGTAGAGGACGTAGACGAATCTCAGCAGGTCGATTGGCGGGTAGACGGAAGGCAGAAGAGGGTGAATGGAAGTTGAGCTGACTGGTAGAGTGACATTTGCTTTGCGTGGTGAGCCTTTTATTGGAAGAAAAGGCGGTGGTGGAGATGAAAGAGATACGTGAAAGCTGGCGTGGCGCACGAGAGTAGGACTGAAGGGGACGAAATATTTGTGCGAGAATGTGATTTTTTAGCGCCAGTGCCAGAGTTTCGCGACGATGCGACTCAGTGTGTTGAAAGGCCGTCAGTTGATTGGTGTAACAATCATTGATATTGTTCCATAGTGCCATCATTCGATGACGACGCACAATCTCGAGGAGGCACCTGGAAGGCGAGAAATGAAAATCGTGAACAAAACGATCAAAAACGGAGGCAGGAAAGGGGAACCAAAACCAAATTCACGTACTTGATGTAGAGTTCAGGTGTATCCTGCAGCTGGTCCAACACAGCACTGCACTTGGAGATGGTTCTCAAGTTTTTATAACACCGGAGACATTCACGATTTTTCGTTGTTAGCTCCGAAGAGAAGGTTTGAAGTTGTCTACAAAAAAAAAAAAAAAAGAGAACCAAGTTGATCAAAAGCCTCAGTTCTAGTGATGAACCACTAAATAATAACTTTTTGATCTCAATTAATGGGAATACCTTTTCCAGGTCCACCATTAATGATCCCTTCAACCCAATCTCGCAGAACGTCGACTATATTGCACAACAAAGCCCCTGTCGATCTGATCCTCCACTCGCAGTTGCGTGATCTCCCATTAACAGGTCCAGACTCCTCCCTCTTTCCATATATCCACACATCCCACCAATCTATAGTTCACCTCCTCACGAACATGAGACCTCACCCAACAGTCCAACTGCTCTTCTGATGACTCATTAATGTCGCAACACCCCAAAACTCATGATCCACTACTTCAACCGTTCATTCGGAGCTTCATCTTGACATGAAGTAATTAGCTCAAAGCTGTTGCACAGTCAAATTGACGTTATTTTCAGGTAAACCCAATAACTTCAAAAAAAAAAAAACTAACAGACAGCAAGGAGTTCTGCTATCGCAAAGGACGAAACTGAGAAATTACTCACTCTTGGAGCATTGAGATCGCTTCAGCGAGTTTCCGTTTCAGTTCGACAATTCTGTGAAAAGTGACCTTAAGGTTCTTGTAGGTGGTAGTTATGGCACTAAGGCGGTGACTCTGTGCGTTGAGGGCCTGACGCAGATGTTTTTCCGATCTTTTTAACTGAAAAAGTGAAGACTTTTCAAGGTCTTAGAGTCAATTCTCACCAACTGAAATTATATTCAAAAACAAAGTTGATCAGAGGGCAGCGATTCCTGTAATAGTCTCCTCAATGACGAAATTTGAGGTTAAACAATGATGAAATGCCCAGTTTGTCATCACACATCCAAACCATCCAAATACATACCTGACAATCCCGAAGGATCTCCTCTGCCTTTTCTAAGATAATCGTTTGCATTTTCATCGCCTGGTCCCTCACTTGTGACAGTTTCGCCAAATGGTCACTGAAGTTCCGCCTCGAAAGTCGCCAATTGAGATCGCGAATCCTTAAGTGGGGTGACGTCAAAGTCTCGTCCACTTCTGATCTTCTTAAATCCTCTTCCTCTTCTTCAGGCATGGGCCGAGAAGACGCTGAGGCCATTCCCAAGGGCGTGGCAGGGCTGTTAGCATGTAACCTAGAAATTGGAAGCCTTGCGTCTACTTTCTCTTTTCCCCGTTCCCCTTCTTCTTCTTCCTCATCCTCTGTAGAAATTTCTGCATCTCGTGGAGCAGAATCAAGCAACTCTGCGAAAGCCTTCAAATTCCTATAAGGCAAAAATAATAGCATAAAACTAATCTTTAACACCTTTTTAAAAATTTAGCACTAACGAATAGAAATGAGGGAGTCGCGGTTGGGTTGACGCATCCACTGCCTCTTCTTCATCTTCTCCAACCATGAGAAGGGAATCATTGTCGGCATCGTCTTTTGTGGCATTGAATGGAATAAGTGTGGCTCCAGGAGGGAGTTCCTGCATTGCCTTCAATAAAGCACTCGAATCATCTACGAGTTGCAACAGAGGCGTCTCCAAACTAGGCATGACGGTGATAGAACTCTCTCCACTGTCACCTTCCACTTGCGAGGTGGTGGGAGAAGAGTTGGCGAGGTAGAAAGAGGAGACTCCAGCAACTGCAGTATGAGCAAGTTTTGACTGGAGGAATAGAGGTGGTGGAGCGAGACGTGATGAGCCGATAGGGGTGGGAACGTCTCCAGAACTGTTAGTCGCCGAAGTAAGGCGAAAATTACTGCCCAATGAGCCGGGAAAGCTGGGTGCACTGAGACGACGAGGAGTGGCACTAGTTATTTGGAGGCACGCCCAGTCGTAGAGGGTGCGTGGTGGACCATAAATACTGTTACTTTCACTCTAAAATTAAAAAAAAATGACAAATAAGATTCTTTCAGCTTATTACCAGTAAACTGAAATAACCAGTGTCCCTTGACCGCTATTGTGGTGACAGGGTGTAAGTGGAGCCATGGAGGAGACCGAAGAAGACATTCAAGACAGAAAACTGACTAGTTCAGTCACTTGCACTTAGACCCATGTAATAACTTTCGCACTGCTCAAATGAAATCCGTACCCCTCCAACGGCCTGATGAGAGGGTTTGCTTCAGTAGTCAGCCAGAATTAGGGTGAAGTACAGCACCGTAGTGCCGCTAATTTCACAAGACCCATAAATAGTAGCGCTGCCAAGAATATTGTCTTCTGTGCCTTGCAGCTGCCCCAGTCCCTGGGTTCATGGGCTAGCGCGCCCTAGTCTCCCATCACATGACTACAAACCTAACTTTGGTAATGGAAAGGCGAATCCGCCCATATCGAATCATTGAGATGATTTGTCAAGAAGGACAATACGCAAGATCTAGTTGGAAAATAAGTAAATAGAGAATGTCATTTCCACCGTGCAGAGAGGCTTGACAAGAGAAGAGTGGTGCAGTACTAATACAAGGAACCAAGGATTACACATCCGGATGTGAACAATCAGCTCCCAGCCCTCACTCAAACCTCGTAGCCCGTGTGGTAGACGACTCAACAATGATAAGCAAACTAGTGAGAGTGATGGAGGACACACTCCCACTTCTAGTACTACAGATTCGTTAGTCCAGTTGAAATTAGTTCTGTTAGTAGACACCATATCCCAGCTATCAGTTCCAGACGCCAGGTAAGGTGTTAACACTTGCGAGGTGGAGTACATATCCGTTTGAACAGGTAGTAGACAGCGAAGACAAAATTTGCATGGTGAATCCAAAATCACCTATCGGAAAGGGATGCCTATTTTCGAAACTAAAGACGAGCAAGTGTCTCGAAGGACCAAGGCTGGCGCCTCAATCCCACGGATGAAATACACCAGTCGCGAAAAGGATCCGAGCCAACTGACTAAGCAGCTCCTTGCTTATGAAAAAGCTATTCTAGAAGGTCCTCAAGTTTGATGATGAGAAGAGAGGCACCTGCACAGCTTCAATCGAGCAAAAAATCAACACCTAAGGTAATAAACCACTTGTTTGTTCAATTCTTCTCCTGAAAATAACTTTCCTGAACTCTAATCGCTTGGAAACGCGTATTTGCTTGTGTGCTTGTGTATGTTCGTGTGCCGTTCTAGTGTTTACTCTCAAACAAACGTTTTCAGGTACTAAGGCGCGTAGCCTTGGGCGCACATGGGTGTGTACGTCCACAGCCACAGGTGTGAGAAGTGGAAGTTGAAGATGAGAGGGAGTCCTTAAAGTGAGACAGCAATCTCACATACCATCATCTCAGTGGAGGAGGCCAGAAGAGAAGGTAGAAGCGGAACACTGCGAAGTCGATTTTTGATAATAGGAAACCTGAAAAAAGAACAAAGATGGCTGTAACGGTATCATTCTGGTTGGATAACTCAACCATAACCACAACGAAGATCAGCAAGCACTCGAGATGGGAAACAAGAGCGACTTTGAAAAGCAGAGAAATGAGAAATAAATTCAGAAGAACATTAACTCCGGTGCGGATTTGAAGGCACAAAATCAAAAGACCCAATCCAATAATCTCTTGTAGCCCAATTTTGATCAGCAAGACTGAGTTAATGTAGCCTATATGAAGCCTTGGATGGGGAAGAACAGAGCTACTAAATGCAGAAGGCAGACCTGATGTGAAACCACAAGGCAGGTGAGGAGCGCGAAGAGGATTCAGCAAACAGGTGTGCTGGCGGTGGCACAGAAGCACACTGTGCCGAAGTGAGGTAAATGCAAAATTTACCCTCTGCCAACAGAAAATTACCTCCATAACCGGCGTATTAAAGCAGATGTTTAGATCAGATCATCGGTGTCGTGTACAATTTAAGTTGGATTCAGATTTTCACAGTGGTCAAACAGAAATGATCCGAGTTTGTGGAGCAATAAGTACGAGATAGGGAATGAAATGTTACTTAAGCACAAAAAGGAGCATCAAAACAGGGCCACCACGAGCCACCGACGTGATAAGGCATCAGGACCGCATTGCATATTTGGCGCACATCACATGTTTAGGCAGTGGCGTCTGATAAAATACGGCAGTGCCAGTTGGGTTTAAAAAAAGATGCGGCAAAAAAGGCGTAACCCAGACGTACATACAAAATGACATCCACTTCTGCTCTCGCATGAGATGCAGTCTGGCCTGGGCGTATGCCGGCTAGAGGCTAGTCCGGTTTGGGCTTTGATATTGGAGGAAGTGCCAAGACCAGTGCAACCTTCATGCCGCTAGTTATGCAAAACTAGTCAGTGCCATAAAGATCACTAACTTAATATTATCGTTCGAAAAGGCGGGAGAAGGGCAATGCAGAAGTCGATTTTCTCAATTTAAACTATGTTAAGTAAAAGCATAACGATTGACCATTAATATTGGCCCTTCTTATATGCAAAAAGGATGTAGAACCGTCGGCAAATTTAGGCTTATACACAAGTGAACAACTGTCATGAGGAGTAGTGGTTTCAAGGTACTGATAGGTCCAGACTAAGGCAGGACGGCAAAGGAAATTCCACCAGCGTTTTGGAGA